TGCACTATTTTTAACGTTGAAGGAGGAGACACAGGTATATCAGAAACCGCCAACTCCATAAACGGTTTAAGTGAAGTGGACTTAATTTCAGTCCACTTTTCTCTTCCTTTTTCCCTCCATTTGGGTTTCTTCTTTTTTAACTAATATTTCCGGTGATTCAGTGAGCTGAGAGCTGCTACTCAAATGGCGGAAAATTCAGGGAACTCTGTTTTCCTTCACGGTGATCTAGAGTTGAGAATTATTGAAGCTAGAAAATTACCAGACATGCATTTGGTATTCAATCAAGTTGTCCGCTGCGTTGTCGCTTGTAAAGCTGGCGTCTCCCCCTCGCACCAGGAGCCTCGCCGTCGGGGCAAACGGAAAATCAAGAGCCATTGGAAGAGAATCACTAGCGATTCCTACGTTGTCGTTTCGGTACCTCAGGCTATTGTCGCTTGCACAGCTATCAACAAGAATACCAAAAACCCTCGCTGGAACGAGAAGTTCAATATTCCGCTCGCGCATCCAGTAGTCTACTTCGACTTCCAGATTAAGGATGATAGTCTGTTCGGGACCAAGCTTATCGGGATTGTCAAGATCCCTGCTAAGGATATCGCCACCGGGGAGCCTATCAGCGGCTGGTTTCCGGTGATAGGCCCCAAAAGAAAGCCGCCGAAGCCAGAATCGGCTCTTCAGATTGAGATGCGATTCACCCCGTGTGATAAGAATCCACTTTACCGCCAAGGCGTCGCCAGCGATCCGGAGCAGGCCGGCGTTAGGAACACCTACTTCCCATTGAGAAAAGGGAGTGAGCTGAGGCTGTACCAGGATGCTCATGTGCCGGATGGAATGTTGCCTGCAATTAAATTGGATCACGAAAGGGTTTATAAGCAGCACAAGTGTTGGGAAGATATTTGCTGTGCAATATCAGAGGCTCAGCATTTGATATACATTGTAGGTTGGTCAGTGTTTTATAAGATTAAGCTTGTAAGGGAACGGAACCCGCCATTGCCACGAGTTGGGAACTTTACGCTTGGTGAATTGCTCAAATACAAATCAGAAGAAGGAGTTCGAGTTTTGTTGTTTCTTTGGGATGATAGGACTTCCCATCATAAATTGGGGATCAAAACTGTGAGAATTCTGGCATGATTTGTTAACTTCTGTTAGTAGACAGTTATGTGCAAAAGGCGCAATCTTTTTTATTTTATTTTATTTTATTTTTTATTTTTTTTTATATTTTTATTACCATGATTCGTTCTATTATTTTGTTGGAAAGTGGTAGATGAACTGTAATGGGTTTCTTTTCTGAACCCATAATAGAAAGATACAATTTTTTTGGTGGAAGAATAGAACGATCCGTTTATGAGATTCCAATTTGTAATTGTCAATGGATGCAGGCAGGAGTGATGCACACGCATGATGAGGAAACCAAGAAGTTTTTCAAACATTCATCTGTCATTTGTCTCCTGGCTCCTCGTTATGCAGATACTAAGCTTGGCTATTTCAAACAACAGGTAAACTTTGTTTAGCTGATTCTTATTCTGTTGCATCCATTGACACAGAACTAACTTGACATGAATTCAATTCATTAGTTTGGATTCTATGTTCATTGTAATGGTTGAATGAACAGACTAACCACACTCTATCAATGTTTTCATATGTAATGAATGTACTGTAAAATGATATTGAGGCAACACCGTTAACGTCAGTGCTGAGTTTCTAGATCAATGGAAAATGCATAACAGGAGTGTTAACAATTCAAGCAAGTGAAAGCATATAATCTGTTGCTGGCTGGAGAATTTAGCCTTGTTTATTTCTTAATGTTGCAACTAAAGTGGATTACTTAAGAAGATTAACACCAGCTGTTATGAATTTTATGTTAATATTTCATGATTTTGGTCTTTCATATGCACGTGGCAGATGACATCAAATAGGTTTTGTTTGGCTAGCCATCTTTGTGCTTGCTTTGATAAGTTGTCTCTGATTTTGAAAAATTATTCATAAAATCTAAGCAATGTTTAGATGATGCTTCCATGGTAGTTTTGTTCAGGTCATTGGAACCATGTTCACACATCATCAGAAATGTGTTCTCGTTGATACACAGGCAGCTGGTAATAATCGAAAGATAACAGCATTCTTAGGTGGTATTGATCTCTGTGATGGTCATTATGACACACCAGAGCATCGATTATTTCATGATCTTGACACTGTCTTCAAGGATGATTTTTATAATCGTACGTTTCCTGTGAGTAATTTTTCAATTTATCTTTGAATTTACTTTGTGCATTCTCTTATATAGTATATTATTTCCCTCTTTTAAGATTTTCTATGGTGCATATTCTTGTTAATTACTTGGATCATGTATCACTATTCATAGAGCATCTTATAGAATATATTCTAATATAAAGGGATGAAGAGGAAAACTCCTGTATGCTAGTTATGTTCTGGTTTTCTTAGCTCAAGCTCTTAATAAAAACTGGAGTTTCTTTATATTTCAGTTGAATGATATGGTCATATCTGGGCAAATACAATCTCTCTAAGATATGTTTATTTTCTCTGGCTTCTGTGGTCTTGGATCAAGATTAACTCATTGTTGGTTCTATTGGGTGTAGCTTGCAATGGGATTTTTTTTTTTCTTTTTCAGCAAATGGAAGCTTGTGGTTTGTAGGATTTTGAGAGCTCTAAGACCAAACGGATGTAGGACAGAAGTGAAGGTAAGGATAGAACTCAGAAACAGAGGCAATGGTGGGAAGAGAATAGCAGAATTGGGCATTTCTTGAAGAAAATTTCAATTCAATTCATAAACTGAATAACCCTAATACAACCTATGCTTTACTAAAAAACCTAATACCTTTATTAGACTCCCAATTGGAATCTTTATTGAAACATAATAACAGATACTAATAAATATAAACTACAAGTAAATATTACCATTTAATTCCTATATATTCATAATCATAAAAAAATCATAATAAATATATTACCTCCTTCGTTATCTGTATCACTTATTTTCTCAGCCATCTAGAATTGTATTTATTATGCTTCAAAGCTATGATTCATGATCACAGGTGACTTATGGGAAGAAAAGTAGTAAAAGGGGGTTTGTTGCCTTAAAATAGGTGGGTGTGTAGTAAAAAATATGGGATGTAGTTCATAAGCACATAAGAGAGTATAGTCCTAGAACAGTTGGGTGTGGTATAATTGGCCAGACTGCAATTAAGATTTCTTGATGGAGTTGTAATTTGAAGATAGTATATAAGATTGCATTCTCATCGTGGTAATGCTCGCTACATTAAACAGGCTGTAACCTCTTCCAATACAATTTTCTATTTCTTGTTGCATGCTAGTAGTAGATTTAATCTTGGCATTTGTTTGCTTTGCCCCCTATCAGGCTGGAATCAAGGCTCCAAGACAAGCTTGGCATGACTTGCACTGCAGGATTGATGGACCAGCTGCTTATGATGTTCTTCTAAACTTTGAGCAGCTTTGGAGGAAATCAATCAAATGGAAAGAGTTTAGTTTACTTTTTAAAGGAAAACTCCATTGGCATGATGATGCTTTGATTAGGATAGAACGTATGTCATGGATACTAAGTTCTTCCCTTACTGTTTTGGATGATGGGACCACAATAGTTCCAAAAGATGATTCCATAGTAAGGGTTTCTGCTGAAGATAATCCTGAAAACTGGCATGTTCAGGTTGTATGATGTGAGTTTTGTATACGTTTGGTTTTGTTCATTTTCATTTTGAAATCAATTTGTAACTGTAGGTTCATTTCCCTTGTTCTTTCACAGATTTTCCGGTCCATTGCCTCAGGATCAGTGAGAGGATTTCCAACATATGTTGATGCAGCCCATGCCCAGGTATCATAAGAAACCATTTCACTTAATGTGATTTAAGATAGAAAACCTAATACATTAGTTATGTTGCAGTTCTTAATTCTTAATTAAACTCTTCTTTGCAGAATCTTATCTATTCAAAAGGTCTGGTAATTGATAACAGCATTCAAACAGCATATATCCAGGCTATCAGATCTGCTCAACATTACATATATATTGAAAATCAGTATTTTATTGGATCATCATATGCATGGCCATCATATAAAAGTCCAAGTGAGTAATGTTTTTTTCTGTTGTGTATTTTTGTTTACTTAAATGAATGACGGGGTAAAGTGTATAATGTACAAAACTGTGACCAGGTTGTCTTTATATTGTCTTCATAGGAATTCAACCATATAAGTTAACTATTAAAATTCAAGACAAGAAAGCAAGAAAATGAGAGCAATCAGTTTGAGAGAGTCCAAGGGGAGGAAAGAAATCTTATCTGGTTTGGACAGGAATAGTTTAGGTGCATAGGAGGGTAAGAGAAGAAGCACCTTCATCATCCTTGCGAGCAGTCTATGCACTGGCATCCACACTTGTAAATAGTAGGGTTCACCCTTTGCCTTGTACCAGTAATGTACTTTCTTCTTCTCTGTTTAGTATCAAGGCAAGAAAGAGATTGCACTGCTAGAGATTAACCTCCCCTTAAGAGGGATAGCTTGGATAAATGGATAACAGTAATAATTTTTTTGGGGTAATTGCAATCTGGTTATTTGTTTCTTCTGAAATTGTCATGTTCACCTGTTTCAATGATATGAACAGGAGCTGATAATATAATCCCAAAGGAGTTGGCACTGAAGATTGCTAGTAAAATTAGAGCAAACGAGAGGTTTGCAGTATATGTCATCATTCCAATGTGGCCTGAGGGTGATCCTAAATCTGAAGTTATGCAGGAAATTCTCTATTGGCAGGTTATTCTCTTTTCCTGAACTCCTATCAACCAAAAGCCTCAATTGGTTTCTCTTCTTTCATATAAAAACGTGAAGCAATGGTATCAAGAGGACATTATTGTTTGTCGTTATTTCAGTGACCACCTGTTACATCTTGAAAGATATATATCATCTTGCTCCATTGCTAATCAGTAGTTGGTTCAGAGCTAAAATTTAATTGTTTTGTTTATCTGTTAAGGCGAAACTATTGTCTCATTCGTTCTGAAAGGGTTATGAAATCCCTGTTTTTATCTACGTTTTTGCCTCTCAGTTCCAGACAATGAAGATGATGTATGATGTTGTTGCACGAGAACTAAGATCCATGCAGCGTCTGGACTCTCTTCCTCAAGATTACCTCAACTTCTATTGTCTTGGTAACAGGGAAAGAATACCTGAGGAAAAGCTGGCTGGTAATGGTGATAAGGTAACTGTTTGAGAGAAAATCTCTCTCTCTTTTTTCGTTCTTCTTTTTGATCTTATTTTGAAAGCCATTTTTGAGAGTGTTGATTACATGGGGATTGCTAAATAGTAAATGCAATGTCTTTGCAGCCATGGTTCCTAACTTTGATTAAGAGGAGAATTTTGCCATACCCTTTGAAATTGTAGATTAGGTCTGCCAATCTCCAATGAGAAGTTGACTTAACTACAATCTTCTCTTCCCAGGTCTCTAATTCACAAAAATTTCAAAGATTCATGATTTATGTGCATGCTAAGGGAATGATTGTAGATGATGAATACGTGATACTTGGATCTGCTAATATCAACCAAAGATCAATGGCTGGTACAAGAGACACTGAGATAGCAATGGGTGCATATCAACCTCATCACACATGGGCTAGGAAGAAAAGACAACCATGCGGCCAGGTTTGCATTTTCTTGTTTCACATTCTTGGGAACTGCTTTGTTAATTTTATGAACCAACTTTTCTTATACGGCAACTCTCAAAAATGTTTGATCTGTTTTCTTCTGCTTTCACTAGACCAATGTTTCCAGACTGCCATAAAGAGAATGTTACTTCGTTTTTTCCTATACAAACTAAAGCCCTTCCCTGCATCCTGCAGGTATATGGATATAGAACATCACTGTGGGCAGAGCATCTCGGTACCATTGATAAGTGCTTCAATGAGCCAGAAAGCCTGGAATGCGTAAAGGCAGTAAACGCAATTGCTGAAGATAACTGGAAGAAATACGTAACAGATGAATTTACATCATTGCAGGGTCACCTTCTCAAGTATCCTATTCACGTAGGTAAAGATGGAAAAGTAGGTCCTGTTTCCGGATACGAGAACTTCCCAGATGTGGGTGGTAAAGTAATCGGAGCACAATCCCTTAGGCTTCCTGATGTTCTAACCACGTAATCTGTCTGGCTTCATGCAAGACAGTGATGCTGCAACATTGCCATTTCTCCCAGACTTTGTAGGCTCTTTAATTATTATTGATTAATTCTTTGGCCAAACAAAATTACTACTGATTAATTCATTGGTCACGTGGGTTTTTTATAAATCTGTGATTGCGTGTACTAGTGTAATTAGAAATGAAATGTTGAAGAAATTGATATGTAAACAATCAGTTCTTTTTTTTTTTTTTAAAGAAAAGAGAAAGGAGCAAATGATGGATGTAGAATGCCTTTAATATAAGAGTGTGTGCAATGACGGTGTAATCACATTAAGATTTTAAGTTTTAAATATAAATTAAAATTTTTATTTTTATTGAGGGTCAAAATGCATATTTCTTTTATTATGGTTGTTAATTTATTTAATAACATTGACTACTACATCATTTTTTAAAAATTAGTGTAGGTGAAATAAGAGAAAAAGTTATAGATAAAAATATAAAATTTACTTTTGTTTTAATTTAAAAGTTTATTGAATAATAATTATAATAATTTCACAAACTATAAATTTAAAAAATTTATATTTTTAAATAAAAAATAAAATATTTATTTTTATTTTAACTATTTCTCGTCAAAACACTGCTGATCACTATTTTTTGGCCACTCTTAGAACAAAGTAAAACAAATAAAAAAAAATTAAGATATTCTAATATTAAAAGTATATGAATATTTTTTTTTTTTTGAACATTTTGACACGGGACGGGTTCGGAACCCGTCCAGGGGAGGAGAGAATGTACCTAACAAGCTGGTTAATGCCAATGGGCCTCTAAGTCCAGGTGCAAAAGTATATGAATATTTAACAATAATTACATAATAAATTTAATAAAATAAAACCCCACATTATACCTTCTATATCATATAATTATTACTAAACTCTAACATTTTTAATAATAAGGTGTCTTAATTCTTTATTTTCTTAAAATAATAAATAAATAAATAGAGCAATCCAACGGTGCAAGAAACAAGCTCCAGTATTATACGATGCGTACCTCCACGTTGAATATATATATATATATATATCTTTCTCTAGGTACCTTTCTTCCCAATCTCATCCGTAAAAAGCCCTAATTCTTCACAGTCGCGTTCTAGGGTTTTCCGAGAAAATGGCAAGCTTTCGTTTCTCTTTCTCGCATTCTTCATTCTTCTTTCCTTATTATTTCTTTGTTTGTAAGAAATTTGACAGTCTCAATGTGTTTTGATTTGTCACAGGCGGATTCTCCTCGTAGAAGGTAGTTGTCTTTCCTTTGACATATATAATCGAGAATCCGTTTTGTTCTCGTAAATTTTTCCCGATTGGATATTTCTGTGCTCGGATTCCTCGCATTAATTCATGTTTTTAAGATCTCGTTTAGAATTAGTATAGCTGAACGAGGATATGGTGCAAGGTGAAAATGGAGTTCTAGTAGCTGGGTTTTCAAAGAGTTTTGATTTTGATGCTGCAAGATTCAAAATTTTTTGATTTTGTTTTAATAATTATGCTCATAGGCCATATCTTCAAGGATGGTTGGGAAGAAGGTAGAGGGATCCATTTACCCACAAATCTTACGCTTTTAGATTAAAAAGATAATTATGTTTAATAAATGTGAATAAATCTCAACCATTGAAGGTGGAGAAATGAATGGTCAAGATTTTGTGTAAATGTAATATGTAAGATTTGTGTGTAAATGGATCTGTCCTCAAGAAAGTAAATTTTGGAACTTAGAAGAAGTAAATCAAGTAATTGCTTCAGTATTCAGTTTTTTGTTCACTTCCGGGCCACAATTTAGCACTCTTTGTTTGAGCCTTGAGGTGCCATTGTCTATTCCAGTGCTTTTCTTTTGTCTAGCTGTTGGGTCTGGGTCTGGGTTGGGGTCTGGTTCATTTTGGCTTTTGGGTGCAATGGAAAACCTTTACAAGAACAAGGTGTGGGTGACTGGGAAGGTGATGTGGAGTTAAATTAATATTTGATCTGTAGAGTATATGATTGCCTGTGAGGATCAGCTTCAAGGAATTGAGCACACAGAACTCTAAGTTTTACCAACGTTTTAATGTAACTCTTATAACCTTTAAGAATATGTGATCTATAGAGGGTATGTAACCAGTAGTTTACTTATAGTTGGTTGTGAAGATTGGTTTTATAGAAGTGATCACTCATCTTTCTTACCAAGCTTGTCACCAAGCTTGTCATATAACTGTTGTTACACTTTTAGTGTTGACGTTATATTCACTGGATGTCTCAGGAATTCACTGTCTCCATCTCCATGGAGAGAACAGTCCAGGTCTAGGTCCAGATCAAGATCCAGGGACAGGGTCAGGGACAGGTCCAGATCGAGATCATGGTCAAGGCCAAGGCATAGGTCTCGGTCACATAGTCGTGGCAGGTTTGTTTGTTCCCTTGCTTTATTTCATTGCTATTATGAGTTTTCAGGCAATAACTTATCTGTGCTTTTTTTTAATATCTCTTGTTTTTTATCTGTGTCAAGATCCAGGAGTCGTGACAGGTTAGTAGTGACTCTTTTCAACTTAGTCAGCTTATAACCTTGCTTGCAAGGTTGTAGTTTCAAATGCTCTTCTCATTGCATTTTCTTTATTTTTTTGGAATTCATGGTAGGGGCGAATCTGTAAATCCTGGAAATACACTTTATGTAACTGGTCTATCCCAAAGGGTCACAGAGAGGGCCCTTGAAGACCACTTCTCAAAGGAGGGGAAGGTTAGTTTTTCTTACCACAGTATAAGTTGCTGGCAGTGGCCGTCTCCATTCCTTGGTCCATTATTTTATTTTGAATAATGGTTAATGAACTGCTCTCATTTTGAAGGTTGCCTCATGCTTTCTTGTTGTGGAGCCTCGTACACGTGTGTCTCGTGGGTTTGCTTTTATTACAATGGAAACTCTTGATGATGCTGACCGTTGCATTAAGTATCTCAACCAGTCAGTTTTAGAGGGCCGATATATAACCGTGGAGAGGGTAATCCAATGCTAACACTGGTGCTTACCATTTATTATATCTGTTTGGTTATCATCCTTCTTAACTTGAAGGTTTTCTGATTACATTCAGAAGATATTGTGTCAGCTATGTTGGCAGCAATCAAAGATGATGAGTTCATCCATATCCAACCTAAGTGAAACAGCTTGCTTGATCAATGGCCAGCTAAAACAGCTTTTCAAATGCATCAACTAACTTAGCAACTATTTTGCCCAACAACTATACAACCTCAGCATTCACTTTCAACTGTCAACTAATCAAAGGACAATACAACATCTTTATAATCAGGCTTTTATGGACTATGGTATTTTACACCTGAATGTTCATTTAATGGGTGCTTCCTCTTTGTGTCTGGATGTGTTGTTCTTTACCCTTCCTCCTTCCTTTCATTGGCCAATTTTTTTTCCATGTAGTTTTTCTAGTGAATGTTTTTCTCCCTTTGAAAAAGGACTTACCTTTGTATTGTTATTATTATTTGGATAGTTGTGAAGTTTTGGGTTTCCTTTGTTTTTGATGACTTTAGGAGGGATCTTCCACAATTTACATTTACTCTGTTCATTCTAGCTGAATATTAATTTGTTTTGCTTGTCTCAGTCAAGAAGGAAGCGGCCCAGAACTCCAACACCAGGGCACTATCTTGGGCTGAAAAGTACCAGGGATTATGGTAAATTAATATTTTCTTACATCTCTCAGAAATCTATATCTTGTGATTTGAAAATAATACTAATATTCGAACTATCTTTGTCATTCTTGCATTTTGGAAAGGCCGGGGTGACCGTGGTAGGTACCGTGGAGGTCGTGGTGATGATTATGGCTATCGTAGGTCTCCAAGGCACTCACCCTATCGAGGGCATGATTATTCTCCAAGATACTCTCCCCATGTTGGAAGATCAAGGAGGGAGCGCTCATATTCTCCTTATTCCCGTGGCTCTCGGTGATGATGCTGTTGTCTCCTTGTTCATGGTATCCCTCTAGTGGAGGATTGGAAAAACGAAACCTAGGCTTAATTAATGTTTCTTACTGTTATTTTGGGTTTCATGGAGACTGACTGTTTTTATTGGTGGTGATCCGTAGTTTTAATCTTAGGCTTTAATTAATATTTCCGACTGTTATTTTGGGTTTCTTGGAGACGACTGTTGCATTTGTTGCAAGTCGTGTTCTGAACTATCTATTACGGGCAATCAGCCAAATGAAGGGTGGATTTTATCTTATGTTCTATAATTCTGTTTAGACACAGCATCTCCTGCTGTTTTCAACTCTTCATTGCTATATATGTAATTATATATATATACTTCCTGATGATTGGTTATGGATATAGGTTTTTTTTTTTTTTTTTTTTTGGTGAATTCACAAAAATTATATTATTACTTGATAATTACATTAAAAATAGTGTAAAATATAAATATAATTATTAAATTATAAAATATTAATTAAAATTATATTAATTATAATAAATTAACGTTTTTAATAAAGTGTTGTGTGAAAAATATTTTGAGATGGCAATACCCAAAACAATCTAAATCTCATGTGAGGATGAAAAAAATTTTAAACCTAAAAACTAAATTTATTTACTTCCCTATGCAAAGATGCTTGAAGTTTATTTATTTATTTGTTAATTATTTTAGGCTTCATATTAGGGAAGCAAATCCTCTTTTATGCATTTTTTTTTTTTTTGGAATAAGGGAAAGTTTTTAAAGAGCAAGGAATATTACAAATATCTCAAATAAAGATTTAAATTTGTTAATAACTTAAATAAATTAGTAATCATCTTTTATCGTTGAAAATAAAAAATCTTGAATTTGAATAATATGATATGCCGATGAGAAGTGTGATAAGAGATGAGAAATGGTTCTTTTTCATTATGCAACTAAGGTAAAATAAAAAAAAATAATAAACCTTAGTATAAATCAAAATATTTAATACATATTAGCAGGCCACGGGGCTGCTTGTGCAAATCTAATCTCACTACCTGCGAGTTATGCAATGCAACTCCACGTTAGACTTTCTTAATTCAATCTGCACCGTGGTTAGCGTGGAAGTCTTTTTACTAGCAAAATTGCTAGTGCGGACAGAATAGTGGGGTTTGCTTAATGAGTCCTTTTACGTTTTTTCTTCATGGTGATAAAGAAAATGGAAATCATCCTGCTATAAATGAGCAGATAATCAATTTTTAAAGCTTCTGTAATTTTGTAGCCAAACGATGTTACTCTCCTCTTCTCTGCTAAACCCCTCAACCCCAAAGCTTCCATCTTTCCCCTCCTTTCCTATCCCTAACAATCCCATCTTCTCGGTTCCCCCAAAACTCCATTTCCCCACCAAATTCTACTCCTTTTCTCCTTCCTTTCTGTCTTCACACACCTTTCCTCCGAACGACGACGTTGATGGTGAAGACCATGTCGTTGGCGATTGTCTTGTCTTTGAAGATGGAGCATTTGAAGACCCCTATCTCCAGTCCGATTTCAAATTCCACAATCCTGAGACAAAAATTAAATCGTCAAAAACCAAATCCAGGAAGAAGAAATTGACGGAAATTAAGCCGGAGAACTTAGTGCCGGAGCAATGGAAACATGTTCTGGACGAGGTCAATATCACCAAGAAAGAAAGGCGCAAGATTGCGCAGCAATTGGAGTTTGGGAGCAGAGTTGAGAAGAAGAGGAGAGGGATGGTCCCTATAAGGAACGTGAATGTGCAGGAATATTTGAAGTCTAAAGCTGAGAAGGTGGCTCAATTGAATCCGGTGGTTCTCGATAACCCTTCCAGCTTTCCTGTGGAGGAGGAGAGGAAGGATTCAGTGGCGACAGAGGATGAAATGGATGGGCAGTCGTCCTCCAGTGAGCGTCTGGCTTCTAAAAACCCAAGGTGGGCAGTTTATGGGAAGGGTTTTGAGTATGTTAACCAGGTCTTCAATAGTGGGATATATCAGCCTGGTGATAAAAAATCTGATGGTAATATTCTGTAACTCACTGAAGCTATTGTTTTTCTTCTTCCTTTCAGGCTTGCCGTTGTGTAATTGCCTTCTAATTTTTAGTTTAAAAAGATGAAATTTGAGAATGACATAAAATTTGGTTGTTAGATTGGTTTTGGAGCTTCTAGCAGTATGTAATTTGTTGGAGTATGGAACTTCTGTGGATACAATTTTGGTTCCTGTTGCATTTCTTTCTTGTTTAATTCATTGCTGAGTATCTTCTTTTGCATACAAGTTTTATTTTCTAAAGTTTGGGCATATTGATTTGCGGGGTTAATGTTGTATTAATCCAATCCATAATTTGATCATTTGTTTATGCATATTTACTTATTGACAATGTAGGCACGCGAAAGTTGTTTACCAAAGAAGAAAAGGTGATGTTAAATATGCGTGTCCCAGATGTTGCGGCAGCTACCTCTGTGAGTTCCCTATGCTTTTGGGTTTTTGATTGTTGATGAGCACTACTTTTTCTCTTTTCATGAATTCTCTGCTGGTTGTGTTCTTGATTTCTTATGCAATTCCATCAAGGGAAATCTTGGTAATTTAACAGCTTGACAATGTTTTTCTGTATTTTAAGGCCCAGTAGTAGCTATATATAGGTAGAAACTCTTTATTGATTGATGCAGTTACCTTTGGCTCCCTCCTTACAGGATTAATGTGTTGGATCCTAGAGAGGAAATTTTTTTTTTTAACCATTTGGTATTTACTCGAGATAACACTCTTTGTTGTTTTCTTGGTGTTAGCGCAAATGGCTTCCTCTTCACACACTTGCTGCTGCAGGGGAGTTCTACCTTGTTGATTCTCTGTTAAAACATAATATTGACATCAATGCCATGGATAAGGTATAAAAATGATCTATACCCCAGGTGGACATCACTCCTTTGCTTTTGTCTTGTGTTATTTCAACTCTCTTGATTAATATGCTAACATGCAAGGAATCTTGCTTGTTATTTCAAGTTTACCTCTTGACTCATTCCTTTCTGAACATTCTTTCCAGGATGGTTTGACTGCACTTCACAAAGCAATAATTGGAAAAAGGCAGGCTATTACCAACTTCCTCCTAAGAGAATCAGCAAATCCTTTTGTTCTTGATGAAGTGAGTTCCTACTTAATTTTATTTATGCTAAAGATCTTTACCGTATGTGAAACTAGTTATAAATCTGAACTAGTGAGGCCATCTTAAGCTTAAATTTTACCCTATTGGTATTTTGACTTCCATTATGAGCTTAAGCATAGATGATCCTGCTTTTGTCTAACAAAGAAAAAGAAAAGGGTGATGGAGTGGCAATACGGATAAACAGATTTCTGTTGATGAAGCTTGTTCTTTTGCATCTTTATCTGAACAATAGTCGTTCCATCTCGATGACTTAAAATAAATTGGTTGGTTTTTTTTATAATTAAAATTAACCTTTTCCTTTCTCTTTCTGGCAATAGGATGGAGCCACGTTGATGCATTATGCTGTCCAAACAGCTTCAAGTCCAATTATCAAACTGCTTCTGTTGTATAATGTTAATATAAATCTTCAGGACAATGTATGGTTTAATCTTTTATGCTTTAAACAATTAAACTTCCTTCTCAAATCGAACATTCTTTTTGCTGATGAGCTTATATGTCCTTTTAGGATGGTTGGACACCATTACATCTTGCTGTTCAAGCCCGAAGAACTGATATTGTGAAGCTTTTATTAATTAAAGGAGCAGATAAGACATTGAGAAACAAGGTAAATACATTTCTTGTTTCTCTTTTACCATACCCTTCTCAAGGACCATAAAGAATCAGAATTGGGTAATCTTTGAAGGTCCTTTGATCAACATAAAATATACCACTGAGACATTCACCTTATTCGTCAATCTGTTGTTGGATGTAATTCAATTTCTCATCTTATTTTACTACTGTTTCAATTTTCCTACGAGGGAAGTTTAAATGTTTTGTGACCCTTCAACTTGTCTCAGGACGGCTTAACCCCGCTTCATCTTTGCCTTTACTCTGGTCACGACACAAGAACTTACGAACTGATCAAGCTGCTGAAAGAACTTCCTAGGTCACACCGAGCCACTTTGAAGAACTGATTCAATCAACCATTAGTTTCAGCCATCCAAGTGCTCAGGATATCCAGTTTTAGGTAGTGAAAGTCCCAGGCAGTGCATGATTCTTCCAAATGGATTGGATCACAGGATGGAGTTTCCCATTTAGAATGAGAAATTCCCTTTTTTTTTTTTCACCCAAGTGTTATGTCAATTCGCTCTTAGCTTGTAGTTTGTAATTACCAAAGCCTTAAGTAATCTATTAGTCTTCATTTTCCCTAACATCTCTATTCTGTGCATTTTAATAAAGTTACTTAGAGTGCTGGGTTTTTGTGCACAAAATAAACCTTGGAACCTTAAATAATCAGCAACATTTCCATTTTTTTATAATTTCTAATTCTTAATTCAAATTTGAAGAAGGCCTGTCAGCCTAATGATCCAGTAGCAGTTTAATGTAAGGTTTTTACATCATGATAAGAATTCGATCATTTCTTCAAATTTGTCCTAATAAAAAGAAATTCTTAATTCAAATTTGAAGAAGGCCTGTCAGCCTAATGATCCGGCAGCAGTTTAATGTAAGTTTTTTTCATCACGATAAGAATTCGATCATTTCTTCACTCTCTTCTTCTGAACCATTTGTCTTAATAAAAAAGAAATTCTTAATTCAAATTTGTTTTATTTAAATATAAAAAATGTGAGATAAATAAAATAATAATATTGTGACTTTTAATTAAGTTTTATACATAGAGAGAAGGGGATTTATTAATTGTTTTATTTGAAAATTAAATATATAAAAAATAAATATCTATTAACAAAATTGTATCTTTTTTTCTTCTTTAAACACCATGCAGCTTGTATTATAAAAGTATTTCAAAAAATTATTTTACAGAATGAGCTGTATATAATTTTTTTTGTAAATTATTTAAATATTTTTAATAACATAAAATAAAAATAAAATTAAAAATATTTAAATAATTTTATAAAACAGATTACATAAAAACAATTTTTTGAAAATATTTAGGATAGGCACGTAACTATAAAAAAAATATATTAATTATTAAAGCGATTTTTTTTTTTAGCATTTTCCATTCAAATCTTTGGATTTTTAAAAAAAATTTTATTTTGGTTATTAGTGTCCCGAAAAATGTAAATTCTCGTCGACAGAGGCCAAGAACGAGTCCTTATCATGAAATACGCACATGTCTCTTCACCTCCAGCACCCTTCGTTTTCCCTCTGTTAGTTGGCTTGTTAGCTTACCTTCTTCTCTCCCTCTCTCCGAGATAATGCTCGCAGCTCACTTCTGCATCCGTACAATCGCAATCCCTACTTCTTGGAATCAAACAAATGCCACTCCTCCAATTGCCTCTGCTTCCTTCCTTTGCTCCCCAATTCGATGGAGTATCCGGACGAGGCGCCGCCGTCCTCTCAATTCCATCCTCATTTCCTGCAATTCTTTCCCTGGAAGTTCCCGTCCCCGATCCAGTCCCGGCGACGATCCCGACCACGAGTTCCTCGAAGCTTCTCTCCTTGTTCCAGGTCTTTTTATGTTAATTTTGCTCTTTTTTTTTTTTTTTTAAATACCAAATCTTCTTGTTTAATTCCTTGGAAATTATCGTTGCTGCGGTTATTGCAGAAACTGTATCGCACTACCGGATGCTGAAGAAAGGATTTCAAGAAACGAAATGGCAGTCTTCTAGGGAATTGCTTCCCTTTCTTCCAAAGAGGGAACCTATGTCTGAGCTTCTGGGACCAACGTTCCTCAGGAGTTTTCAGAGTCCTACAATCTTTCTTAAGATTTCTTGTGATGGAGACTTCTTGCTACCAATTCTTGTAGGTATATGAACAACTTCTTGCACAATCCGTTTGCTTTTTCGGATATCCTGATTGCTGGTTCGGGTTGGATCTATGTGCAATTAACTCTATAAATCATCTGTTAATGCAGGAGATTATGCTATTGAAAGAATTATAGAGGCCTTGTGGGGAGATGATAGTGGGGTAATTTGTTAAAGATTGTTGTGATATTTGTTGTTAATTTTGTTATCTGTGTAGTATTGATCCCAAGAAACATGTTGGTGCAGGATTCTCCAGATCTATTCCAGTTTGTGACAAATGTTGTGGAAAAGCTAGGCTATGAAGTATGAAGTTAATCTTCTCATGAATTTAAAACTTGCTTATGTCTTAAGTTTTGTCTGTTTCCTACTCTGTTTACCTTTTTTTTTGGATTCCATAATATCGATTAAAGGATGTTGGTTGGTGTTTGAAGTCTGTGGGGGAGATAATTAATACAAAAGGTGTGAATTAAAGAAAGGATAATAATATGTATAATGATGGTAGTGGTTATATATTTAATCACTGCCTAGCTTATTTAGTTTAACTT